TTTTGTTTCATTATTTATCTTTTATATGTTTGCTGGGCTTAGGTCCTAAAATACCTTTCTTCTCCCTTTAGTAGCCTTAAAGGGTGTCTAATGCCCTAGCCGGATCACTGGTGCTCAGGCTACCATCCCTTGGGTGGTTTCTTTGTATTTTTGTTTTTCTCTTCCTTGCCCTTTTGTTTTATATTTTATTATTTCATTGTTCCTGTATGTTCTCCCAAGAGATGGCAGTTTATAGCATTCCTTATCCTCGGTTCGTACTCATGGTATTGTTTTATTAGTTCCCCTTCATTTAATTTTCTTTTTCCTTACTGTTGTGTTGATATTGAATACCTTGGAGTATGTAAATGTATAAGGGCCTTTTGAGTTTTGTATTAAATTGGTTTTGGTTCTTTAATGAACTTGAGTCTTGGAGGTTCGGTTTGTCTTAAGTTATGGCGTTTGTTTTGGTGGGTGTTGTGTGTTTGCACATTTCGTTTGACCTTCCGCGGTCGCCATTTTCTCCAAATCTTATACGAGCATGAAAGGGACTGCTGTGAATAGTTAGCTATGTGAGGCGGGGAAGTCTATTTGTCGACCAACGTTTTTTCATGTAAAGTCAGCGAGGATGGGCTACAAAGCAACAATCAGGTCGTGAAAATGCGTACAAAACTTTATAACATACACTAAATTATGTTTAGTACACTGTTGTTTAGCGGTTTAACATTTTATTTATTAGGTTTGTAATACTTTTTTTAAGTGCTTAAACGTTAGATATAGTCCAGTTGAAAAGCTTGGTTCATTTCTCCCACACGTTTTAGGAGAGGACCCTAGAAAAGTGTTCAGCCATGGAAAGGCAACGCAACTGGGCATTAAGAAAGATGATTTTAGAAAAGGTATTTCAACTCCGCCGACATTGTTTAGTGCTTCAGTCATGTTTGTATAGACTATAATCTTTCATCTTCATCTAATATGACTCCTATCCTGTGAGTTAAAGTTTATAATTGATCAAAAGATTTCTAAATATTGATCTTACTTAGATAGGAACGTGAATTGAATCATATTCATCCATATCACTGTCATACACATCCTCTACTTCAGTGTCTAAAGCCTCCAGCTCTTCACTTGAGAAAAACCTTTCTAAAAGTTTACGGAGCGGAATCATGCAGATGATAAAGAACGGAAAAGCTGGAGCGACAACGGTAAGTTTCATGGCAATAAGCGCACATACACAGCATACTTGGACAATAGTAAACAGATGCATCTTGCTCGTTTTAACATTCATAACAAATCTTTCATCTGGGTGGTGAGCAGAAGGAATGAAAAGAAGCTTTACTCGTTCAACCAACTGAATGTGTGACAACGATGCCACTCCAAGGAAAAGAAACACTCCAAACAGTACAGCGATGGGTATGAGACGCATTACTGGCGATAGAAAAACCGTGAAGCCGATCAGAAGGTGGATCACAATGTTGGTGAGCCGTTGCTCTTTTACTCCAATCAGATGAGCATGTTCCCCAGGGGCGTGGTTTGTACTTATCACTGTCAAGGCGTGGAAGTTAGACAGAGTGTGAACAGGAGTAGCACACATCCAAGGCAGACCCAGAATTGAGCACAGACCTACCAACAGTCCCAAAACAAAGAGATCCAAGTTGTAGCCCACGCCTTTCTTCAATTTATGATCTTTTTTGTCCAGAATAATCCCAGTGAATTCAATCTCCATGAAAATTAAGATGCTTACAAGAATTGCTGGAATAAGGGCTGCAAAGATGGCACCAGCAGACATGGGTTGTGTAACTCCCATCGGATTGATAAGCCAGCTTTCTCTGTTGGGTGAGGTAACGGATAAGCCATCAGGAACTGACAACTTCTGAGTGTACACGCCCTCTGTCAACCAGTCAACTGTCACCATGGCAACAATGGCAATAAACACCCCAAAATCACTGACAATGCGTCGAGCCCTCGGTCCAAAGAAATGACTGTGACGCAACTTCCTCAAAGAATGAGCGACAAAAAATGTTCCAATCATTAAGACAGTGGAAAGGAGGGCTGTGTTGGCTGTTGAGTGACTTTTAGTGTAATTAACCTCTCCATTATCAGTGAAATTCGAGGGAGTCAACATATTTCTCGTGGCACCATCACTTAAGGGGTACAATTTAAAAACATGTCCCACGTAGTAAAACGCGTCATATAGAAAAATAATGGATATCATTAGAGCAAATATTTCTTCTGTAAAACGCGTAAAGTATTTGATCAGAAAGCACCCCTCAAGTGCAACGATAATAAAGCATATAACCATGACCCATATTCCAACCCATGCTCGCCAAGGAAGAAACTCAATTCCAAAACTCTCACTTAGTTGAAATGTACTCTTCTCAAACACGAGTAGTGGACCTGTAGCCCCTATTATGATGAGTGGTTGTCCTGCAAACAACGAAAACAGAATTCCAGATAATGCTGTTGCCAGAATCATCTCTGAAACTCCCATCCACGCGTTGGTTTTCTCGCTCAGCAAACCCCCGAAAGTGATGGCTGGAGCGAGGCAAGCGAAGTATACAAAGATTATTGCTGGTAAACAATGGACGTCTAAGGCATCTTTAAAATCGCTAAGGTAGAGAGGAAACCTCCTCTTGATATCACGTACAAGTCCACCACAAAACCTGCCTGTCCTTGAAAGAGGATCATCAAAGGTTTCGTTTTCTTGAATCACCTCACGAAATGTTTCCTTTTCTACATCTCTACTTCTGATTCCACCTCGTCGTCTTCTAGACGATAATTCTTTTGCCTGATTGGCTAGGATTGGCACTGTTTGATTCAGCAGATTTCGATCCCATTCTCCAGGAGGGATAATAAGACTGTCACCCATAAAGCTGACAAGGGCTTCCAGTAAGTCCTGTCGATTCTGTAACAAAAAGGATTAAAAGACTCAGTATCTTTATACTGTTTGGGCGGTCAGTGTTCATGATTAAAACCTTAAAAAATCTAGAATCTGACCAAAAACAATGTAAACAGGCAAACAACGTT